TACTCTTAAATATTTCACACATTTATATAATATTTTAAAAATAATCTTTAATTTATTAAATAAATACAGGAATATTGCACTTATTATTCAAAAGTAATATAGAATATAATTATATTTATATAGAAAATAAAGATTATTTTTTGTAATATTTTAAAATTTTTATAAATATTTAATAAAATAAATAAATAATAAATTTTAAATTTAAATAAAAATATATACATATATATAAAATTGTATTTATATAGTATATGTTATCTAAAGTTATATACATAAATTTAAATATATTCGAAAAATATATAAAAATGTATCTGGATAAATTCAAATGGATATATATGAATATATTCAAAAAATATATCTGAATAAATTCAAATCACATGGATATATGCAAATAAATTTGAAAAATGTATTTGGATAAATTCGAATAAACGAATATATACTAATATATTTATATATTTATCCGGATAAATTCGAATATTTAATGTGGATAAATGTGTGGGTGGTCAAATATATCTGAATATATTCAGTTCAAATATATTCAGATATATTTACCTCCAAAAATTTCCTGATGACGTACTATTGGGGTGATAAAAATAAACAAAGAAAAACCCCTTAATTCAAATTAAATAGCAGATAATATATGAAAATTAAAGGGGAAGCTCAATAACAAAATGGCACTACTTAATTAGAAATTATTTTCAAGTTTATAGAAAGTAAAAAATTCAGAATTGACGTAAAAAGATCTTTTGGCAAACCAGATTATTACTAATGATTTAGGATTAGTGTGTCAATTATTGACAATACTATGATATTTCTTTATAGAACTGGCACAACAAATAACTCCAGTATCTCTCCCTTCAATAATACAACGAAAGTGTAATGAATTTGTATTGACCTTTAATGAAAATCGCACAGTTGAATTATCACGAAGAATTATGCATAATAGGATCTGGAAAAAATCAAAACATCAACTTGCAGAAGTTACAAACAGAATTTTAGATACTTTATAAGTATAGGATATATTGTAAAATTTTAATCATACTATTTTTGTTGAAAAATTTCATGAAATATTCTTTTATTTGTATTAGGCAAGATGCATGGAATAATTTAGCATTTAGTTCTGAATTTGTGAAATTTCAGAGTAAAGGTACTTATGTAAATAATATAATATTACCTACTATTCAAGTAATATTGAAAGATCTTCCTTTAAAAAAATCAACTTTTGTCAGCAGTTCCAAAAACAGAGTAGTGCAAGTACAGATAGAAGAGGCAAAAGATGATCAGGTAGACAACCTGATATAATATTTATAATGAAACATGGTGTAAAAAAATATGAACTCTTATATATTGAGTATTTACGATTGAGTTGTACTTCACAAAAGAAAAAAAATAATGAAGTGAAATTGTGGCATGAATATAATGATGGTCTATATTGAGTTCATAAGAGTTGTATATCTAATAGAGATCAATTCGATATTGTTGAAGTGCAAATAGCAGATAGCACAATACGTTTAAATATTCTTATTAGAGACTTGACAGATATTCATTGTTTATTATTATATTCGTGATGTGGAAATACCAGTATAACAATTAAATTCTACTATTGTTACAAAATTCATTGAAACCTTGTTAATAATATGGAATATTTTATTGGTTAATATATCTTTACTGTGTAATGTATCACTAACTAGATCAAATAAGGTTATAGAAAAAAGTTTAACTATATCTTCGTCTATACAAGAAAATAATTAATTACCATATATTATATCATCTTTTATCCTATATTTTTTTATTATATATTTTTATTGTATTTTTATTAATAAAGATTTTGGTTAGAGAAATATATTATGTATCATATGTTCGAATTTGTGAAATATGGGAATTTGATATTGCAATAAATAATTAGTAAAGCTAGCAAGGTCAATATATACATAACAAAAACCAGTTAAATTATTTTTTTGTATAATGCAGATATAATTTTTTTGTATAATTTATTTTAATTAAAATTAAATAAATTTGCTTTATATAAAAAGTTACTAAAATACAATTCAAACTAGATCTATTGAAACAAAAGAGAGCCAGGCTTTTGACTAGAATTGCAGAATTGGAACAGATTGTAGAAGATCAAAATAAACTTGAGATTAGAATTATAGAAAACATTGAGTTTAGATCTAGAGTCACGAAATTGAAACATATCACTGAAAACTGAGATAAGTGTAATGCATTCTGATAGTGTTAGATATACTAAATTAACTTATTTTTTCTCCATATATAAATGTTTAGAAGGTTAAGATCAAGTACAACTCACTTATCACCCGAAGCAATTAGTGATATAATTACTGCTAAATATTAGCTATAAAATATCACATATCATATAAACAAATCAGCCATATGATGAAACAGGTTAATATCATGTGACACTTCGATAAATTTAGCCAATCACAGTCTATGTCGATTAATTAAAGGGAATTTCTGCCATACTATATTGATAGCACTAATTTTAAAAGTTTTATCGTGAAATAAATTGATGGGACCCATGATGATGGCCACTTCCGCTGAACAAAGACAACAAAATGGACATAGCGATCCAAGAGCTCAACTCGAACAAATAATAGATAATTTACTTATTAAAATATGGGAAATAATGGTTCAACTTAATGAATATGACTCATATAACTCGGAAAAAAAATGGGCTATTTCTCATTCTTTGTAATTAAATTATATTTTAATACGAATATTTGATTTAAAAAAAATATATATATATATATATTATACCTTTAACTTCAAACTTAGGAAAGATCTTATAGATTACCTAGACGAAGTGAATCGACTTCAAGAAAAAATTAAACATATCGAAGTGCCGATGACAGTAATAGAGTTAGATATTTTCTTATTAACTTATTAATATAAATATATTATATTTTATCATTATAATTTGTTTAATATTAATATATATATATATATATATATATTTTAAATAGTTATATTGACGAGGGGCGTAACCCTGATATTTTCATGTCCGAATATGTTGAAGAAGTTATGACAGAAAATCAAGCAGTCAATGTCAAAAACGATGCAATAATAGTAAATATAATGTTTTAAATCATTCATATATAATTAATTTTTAACGATCCACTAATTTCCTTAAAAAATGAATAGGATTTCAAAGATTTGCTTCTCGAACAGCTTCAGGAAACATTACCCGAGCAAACAAATGCATACAAGAAATATGTTCAAGCGAATGACAATGACTTGCCAACCACAAACGGTCATTAATTAATCTTTTCAAAATTTCGTCGCTTAATAATACGATTTCTTATAAAGAAATTATTGATTATGACAAGCAATTTAAGTTCGTATTAAATTTAGCTTGGACTTGGAATTGTTACATTTGGAGCATTCACAAATAATTTTTCAATGTTGGTAAGACGGTTTACAAAATTCCAAATAACATCAAATATTGTTTATCGCAGAAGATTAATTTATCAATTTTTATTTTAGTACTTTTTAGCCTTCATTAATTATCTCGTGGTGTATTTTTCTTGGATGAGAAAACGATGAATAAAATGTGTCAACGCAAATATTTCATATTTCTCTACTATTTTTTTTATCTAGTGATTAATGAAAAACATTTATACTATAATCGATTCTCCTTTTAAGGCCTTCGTATTATGATTTTTCGAAAAGAAAAAAAAACAGTGATACAGAACGTTTATTCCTTTTCGATTATTATCCTCCTTAACAGTAATATATGCTATTTATTATTATTATTATTAATTAATTAGTCTATATGAACTATAAGATTTTGCAAACGATTCACCACTCACATGATGATTTCATTTTCAGAGTATTATACAATTATTTAGTGTATAACTAATGCTTTGTTTATAATTAATCAATTAATCAATTATCAATTTAATAGAATTTGAAAAACAATAAAAAAAGTTCCTTTTTTTTTTTTTGCTTTAAATTTCATTATGTTTCTATTGAAATGTGCACTCTTAATTCTTTAATATTCATTTTTCTTTTCATTATGTATATAATACATTCGGATTAAAAATTTTTTTGTAAAAATTAATATTTTTGTTGGAGTGTGGATAACCGGAAAAATATATATATTCTATCCCACAATCCTAAATTCGTAACATTTAATAATTTAAATTTTAAGTTGTGATGCATCGAGTCCCAGTGCATTTAAGAATAAATTTACGTTTGCTATTTTATGAGATTTTTTATCTGCTGATAACCTTGAAGCTTGTAATACAGTTTCAAGTACTCTTTCCCTAAATTGAAGGAATCAAATTTGAAATAAATAAAATGGGAAATGTTAATTTTTATCAAAATTTTAATAATCAATTATTATTAAATTATTATTAAATTAATATCATTTTTACCTGACTTCGGTAACTAATATATGTTGTTGTTCTGTAGAAGCGCCAACTGCCATCGCTGCGAGAAATTGCCATACGTACATATCGTCAATCCCGTTAAGAAATGGCGGAAATAGTGATAAAAAATGATTTTGTAAAATGCTAAATAAACGATTATATAGTTCTTGCCTATAATATAAAATTATTAATCAATCCTGAAAATAAATTAAATAAATTAAATAAATTTCAATACATTACAAAAAAATATTATAACTACCATTGAATTAATTCTCGTTCTTCTGGGGGCGGTAAACCCTGAATAGTGCCACCACCTTGCTTTAAAATTTCAGCACGACTTAGAAACATTGTTAAAAATGCAAGACCAACCTATTAAAATTTTTAATATCAATACAATACAATCATAACAAAGATTAAATAAATAATATATAAATATTTAAATAAATATAAATAAATATATATAAATATAAATAAAGTTAAATTTAAACCAAATCTTCGCACACCTTACTTCTTGCCACCCAAACAATATTATTTCTTTCAATGAATAACCCAAACAATCCAAGGACGATCCTTAATGGTGCTTCCGCCACAAATTGTAATAAAGGTGGGACAACTGTATTCATAAACAATTCAACTTCCTCCAACATCCTTGAGCCAACATTTTCTTGTGTTCCCCAAACAGCTCCTTTACATACGTCCAGTGATTCAAAATTCGCAACAAGCATTGTAATTAGTGTAAGTGTTTGTTCAGGAAGGCAATGCCTTAGAACGCGAGGAATAACTTTCTTTCCTTTAGCAACAGATAATATGCTAATGAATGGATGTGGGTAACTTCAATTAAAAATATATATATATATTAAAATTTTTATTCGTCAAAGATTAACTTATAAATTGATTAAAAAAAATAATCAAATTTAGTTACCTAACACCAATCATCTCCGTTACTCGAAGTTCTTCCCACATTGTCTTTGCATATTCTGAGTATTCTTCATTCCTAGACAAATAATTATAAAAATTATTAAAATTATTAAAATTAGAACATCCTTAAAAATAACTTATAATCCCATTTAAATTTTAGTTTACACTTCTACTTAAATGATTATATTTTATTATATTTTATTATATTATTGTACACACACCATTTGTCAAAAGCCTCCCTTTCATGATCAAAATATGGTCTTGGTAGAGGAGGTTGATTTCGTCTTAACTCTTCCAAAGAAAGTACTACTGAATAAACATTTTCAATGGAACGCAAAACCTTACGATGATCTATGACTCCATGCGACGAAATAGATGGAATTTTCTGATGTTGATGATGAAAACCTCCATTGCTATTTGGTCCTGCGTGATGATGCAAATCAGTATTTTTTGATGAAACTTGTAATAACTGCCTAGGATTGCGAACTGAATTAAGTGCTATTTTTCCTAAAGCACCCTCAAGTGACACTAAAAATAAAAAAAAAATGAAGAATTCATAAATTTCGAAAAGATGAATTATCATAATTATAAATATAAATATAAAATATAAATATAAATACAATATAAATATAAATATAAATATTTTACATTGTGTCATTTTGGGTTTCCTCCTAGCATCATTTACAATCCTTAATACTTGCTGTTGCATTTTCAATGATCCGCTTTCCGATCCTCTACTTCTGTGTCGACCTCGTTCTTGTCCCATAAAACCTGCTCCACCAATTTGCGGCGAAAATATTTGAGGGTTTGGCTGACGAGTTCGAATTGCAGTATATACTTGATAATAAAAATCATCTGCGTAAGGATCGTCTGTAACAAGTTGAGAAATTTGGATGCGATTGATAAATTCCTTATCATTTTGTGTCATAAGACCATTATATTTTGACTGTAGAATAATAAGATGTTATAATAAAATATAATATAATTTAATTAATTATTTATTTATTTAATTAAGTCTAACCATTTCTGCCAATTTTCGTTGTTTATCTCGTCGTTTTCTCTCTCTTTGGATCATCAAAGCTTCCTGTTTTAGTAAAGCCGCTTCTTGTTCTAAGAAAACACCATTTTCTTGTTCTCTAAAAACAGTTTCGGCTGAAGGATACATAGGTGGTGGTGGTCTCCCGTTAACACCACCCAGTAGAGCAGCTTCAACTTCTGCTAGACTTAGCATTCTCTTTTCTGATATTCCGGCTTGTCGATGCAATTGTGCTTCAATTTGTTCAAGTGATGCTGATGGATGTGGTGGATTTGGCTGACGTGATGGACCAAAACCTGGTGGTGGTGAAGTATTAAGTGGTGGTGGTGGCGTATACTGCTGATTATTTTCAAAAGTACCTGAAATATTAGGTACTTCTTGTGGAAGAGTTATGGAATCTAAAATGAAAGTAAGTGAAAGTAAATGAAAGTAAGTGAAAGTAAATGAAAGTAAATGAAAGTAAATGAAAGTAAATGAAAGTAAATGAAAGTAAGTGAAAGTAAATGAAAGTAAGTGAAAGTAAATGATGGTAATTTATGGTAATAAAGAATAAACAATGAAATAATAAAATTCTAGTAAATATTTTTTTTTCATATAATTTAGACTTAATTATACCTTTTCGATTTGATGATGATGAATGGAATGAACCCCATATAGATGGACTTATTGGAGACTAAATTTTAATTAAAACATAAATTAAAAAAAAATAACATATAATCATAATCATAATAATAAATAATAATAATAATAATAATAATAATAATAATGTAAAATACCTCTGACAAATTTGGGATATCATTTGAATGGTTATTTTTCCCATTAACTATAATGTCTGAATTATTCCCCCACAAAGCTGCGTAAGAAGGTCTTCGATTATTATTCTCTAAAATGTTAAATTGAAAATTTTTTATTTATAAAATTCATTGACAAGTTTGATTCAAAAAAAAAAAAAAAAAAACCAATAATGCAAAAACGATTTACCATCAGCATTATTATCTGGAGATGAATTTTCTTTTCGTCCAATATAAATTTCTTCCTCTTTTTGTATTGTATCCACTATTTTCGTGTTACTTTCTGTGAAATCAAAGTATTTTCCTACAATTATTAGAAATTTCAAAGACGCGAATATTTGTTAATATATTTACCAGTTAGATCAAATTGTTCAGAAAAGTATTTAACCTCATTCAAAGAAAAATTATTAATATCTAAAGTATAAAAAACATACCAACGTCAACAACAACTCCAAAGGTCTCATCGTTCATATCATCCCCTGATTCTTCCAATTTGGTTCCCAGATCAAAGTTTTGCTCATAACCAAAGTCCTCGAATTCTTCCTCTGATTCGAGAGCGAAATCTTTAATTTTTCTCTCCAATTCTTCTTCCTCTGTCTCGTCATGGTGCGTGCTCACACCATTACTATCAAGCCCTGCTAATTGGTCTGATTTTAAAGGGGGCATTGTAGTGTCGAAGCCAAAGAAAGAGCCCGACATTATTGTGTCTCTTTAGCTTCGTTCACTTTCTATCAGATAATTTCCAAAAAGTGTCAAGAATAAAATAAATAAATATTTTTTTTTTGTAAGATTTTTTTTTCATAAAGGTGAAAAATACCGTTTATAGCAGTATCGAAGAGATTCTGATATGTATTTGTATTGGAATTTATTTCAACCTCCCAAAACGTTGTGCACGGTTTACCATGAAAGAATTTTAATTGGCTACAATATTGATCTAAAAAGAACACGTGAAATGCCATCTTTCTTAAGAAAACAATTATTGCATATTTCGCATATTTCGCGCAACTCCCTACGTGTGCAACCCTTCTCCTCAACTTTTTACTCAGGGTTTTTAATTTCTTGGTCAAGAAAATTAAACCTTTGGGGAGAAAGGAATTGGTGTTTACAACATCCACGACCTCTCGTTTCCATTTAGAGACTTTTTCCTCCTCATGAGCAGAGACTTAATAACTTCGGACGGCGATAGCTCGATAAATATCGATGCTAGCAAGATGATTTAACCATCATATAAAGCTTTGAAACTAGAGCTTTCAAATGTATTAATAAGCACATTAGCAGTAAATTGTTCCTTGTTACGCAAATCCGATCTGAAGTAATATATCATGTTCACGAGCCTATTATTTCAGGCTCGTGAGCCCCAAGGCTCATGCGGAACTTCCTCTTAATTGGTTTGTAACTCCACATTTCAACTCCCCAATGTTTGTTACTAGTTTTTACCTCAGAATATGAAAGATCATAGTTAAATCAAAAAGAACTTTGCGTAAACAAACATCTGCATTTTTTTTTTTATCAGGATATATCACTCATCTCTGAAAAAGACCTTCATGCATCAATACAATCACCACCACTATTTATCAAAGTTTTTTTTTTTTTTGAAGTTATCTGCCTAATATTTCACTATATTAACAGATTTGCTGAATTTAGTGTATGTGATGTTTAATTCGCTGAATTTGGTGTACGTGATGTTTAATTTGCTGAATTTAGTGTATGTGATTTTATTTTAACGTATTATTTTTATCACAAATATAACTAGTAGAAAAATACAAATTATATTATATTCTAACTAAAAATCAAATGCATGTATGAAATAAAATATCTTAATAATGAAATTCATATATATAATGACCACATTTTTTACTCCCATTTTCTTTAATTATATAAGAAAAAAAAAAAGAATACATAAACTAATTAATGTTTATTACAAATTTTAACAATTTGCTGAATTGTTGGCCTTGACTTATAATTAATTTGTACCATTGCCTTTGATAATGTAATTATTTCATTTGACATATTTCTAAATTTCAATTTATTTAAATTTCCTAATCGAATTTTGTTTGCTAAGTCCTTGCTTAGTTTGTTTATCATCATTTCAAGTATTATTACACCAAGACTATAAATATCTGCTGAAAAGTCATAATAATTATTCAATGCCTCCAATGAAAGATATCGACAATCACCTTGTTTATCAAGATTTGGTTTAGGTGGCCAACTTGCGGAGAGACCAAAATCACCAATCTTAAATATTCCATTTGATGATTGAAAGATATTTCCCGGTTTCAAATCTAAATGCATAACATTGCACTTATGAATGTGTTCAAGACCATGTGCAATGTCTGTAATTATTCTCCATATTACACATTCTTTTAATTTACCACTATATTCCAAAAAGGTTTCAAGTGTACCAAATTCACATAATTCAGTTTGTAAATAAAGGAAACCTTTTTGTTCCCATGCAGAAAATAATTGAACACAATTAGAATGTTCTCCTATTTTCCACATTATTTCTACTTCTTCCAGATTTTCGATTCGGTTACTATGTGATTCAAAAGGAACTTTCCTCTTTTTAATAGCATATGAAATTTTTGTTTTCGTATCTTTAACTTTATATGCAATAGAAAATTCCCCAACTCCTAAAACTTTCTCAATAATAAATTTATCTGTAAAATAATCGTTTCTACATTTTTCTGTAAATTCTGGTGGGCGAAATTTTCTACTGGTTCTACCTATTGATTCAAAATATGACTTCTCAAGAATGTGCGCATAAGTCGTAGTAAATTCATTAATCATTGAAGGTGAAAGTTTTGAAGGATGTAAAATTTTCATCTCTCTTCTTGGTATCCAGGCTGATGAGAATATTCCAGGTGAACAAATACCAATACTTGGTCGAGTTCTCTTTGGTGTGATATTACCGCATTTAGTATATGATTCAGTTGTTGGATGTGTTGTATATGAACCAGGAGTTGTGCATTTTGTATGTAATCCAGGAGTTATAGATTTTTTGTACGAACCGAGAGTCATAGATTTTGTGTACGAACTGGGAGTTGTACATTTTGTATTCGATTCAGGAGTTGTAGATTTTGTAGATGAACCGGGAGTTGTAAATGTTGTAAAAGATGAATTGGGAGTTGAAGTTTTCGAGAAAAGTGAATTATTAGATGAGTTAGAAGATCTATTTGTGCATGTTGTGCATGGTGATTCAGCTAAAGAATTATCTAAATATCTTTGTATATCATTATGATTTAAGGGAGTTATACTGGACGGCTGATATAATGAACGAGAAATCATTTGTGAAAAAGGGATTTCTCCATACTTGATTGAACGATTTGTACACGGAGATTCATTTGGTGAAGAATATATTAAAAACCCATGAGGAAATTGCGGGAATTGAACATCATTATCTTCGAAAGAAATGGTTTGAGGTTCGACGACATTATTTACATCAGAAATATCGTTAAAGGTATTTAGAGAAGAGGTCTTATTGGGTAATGATGGTTTTGATATAAAAAAATCTAGTGATTTGGGATTCGTTAAAGGTGACTTTAACCCTTCCATATTCGATTGATGACGTTCTTGAGGTCTTTTATCAGTTAAAACAAAAAATTTATCAGGTGAATCGAATTGCAATGAATCAAATGAATCAGATCTATTAACCGAAAAAACATTATTATTTGGAGAAGTTTTTTGTTTTGGTTTAAATAATAATGTAGTAGAATAGTAAAGAATTGTATATATTTGATAAAGAATTATGTATATTTGATAACAAAAATAGAAAATGGACGCGTTTATAAACTTTATGAACATGATTAACGATGTTTTCACGTACAATCTTAAAACTCTTATATATCTTATATATCATTATAAAACATGTGATTGATGAAACCGCGTTTTTGATAAAGTTGTTTTGATGTTGATATATTAAGATTTACGCGTAGTACAGTACCTTTCTTCACGTGACTACCCCATAAAGTCAATAAAATCTGTAATATTAATATTATATAATATTGTATATAATATATTTTATTTTCTTCATGCAGGAGTTTCTCTTTTCAAAAGCATTAAATGAATTAAGTTAACAATTGACAATTAACAAATTTACTTTCGAAAAAACTTCATTTATTAAAAAAAAATAATTATAGACATTCATTTTTTTTTTAAAAAAATTATTAAAATTTATTCAAATATTAAAAAAAAAAAAAAAAACTGAAAATATTTTATATTAACTATCGTGTTCTATTATCATCCTTTCTACACTTTGTACACTTAAATCTGTAATAGCCTCAAGTGCGGCAGGTGACATAACAGATGACACTACGGGTGACTCGAGAAAAGTTGTTATTTGACTGATTTCAGTATTGTGTGATGAAGACACTCTGGTTATAGAATCATTTGAATTTCCTAATTCTGAAATTAATGCTCTCTTTGTTATAAATTAAAAAAAAAAAAAAATAAATCCAATTTTGAAATTTTTTTTTTTTTAATTTAATAAAAAAAATTAAAAGAAAAAAGATTTACCTCATTATTTTGCATATCATTTATCTGCAAACTCTGTAAGCTAGATTGTGAATTCTCTATTATTGTAAAGTTTGTACTTTTATTTGTATCATTTGTTTTTTGCCTCTTGTAAGGTCTAGTAGGACCACCAGGTTTTACAGAGCTTCTCCTTCTTGATTTAAAATTACGAAATGGATCCCTACATAAATCATCTTGTTTGAATGCATCAAACATTTTATCTCCTAAAATATTATAATTAATAATTAATTAATTAATAATAAATAATAATAATAATAATAAATAATAATAATAATCGTTTACCATTTATTTGATATAATCGTACAATTTCACTGTAGATCTCTTTAATATTTCCTTGAGTTGATAATAATGATGGTAATGATGACGAAAAATCATCTTTATTTCTAAAATAATTGATCAACTTTTGTTTTGTTTCAGCGATGATTGGAGTAAAATCACCATATTTTTGTCCCTCCGCATATATACGAGCAGCATAAACATGTTTACAAACATCACGGAAATTTCCATTCCAAATATAATCGAAGCACATGAAGCACTCACCAGTCTTGATATTAACAAGATAAACGCCATCTTGAATATTTATTCCATGACGTTCAATATATCTGTTAATCATGGGTTTCAAACAATTCATAGAATTATTATCTAATTGAATCCGCTTTCCATCATATGATGATGTAAATGTTAATGAAGTTTCTACAAGATTCTTCACATAATAACAGTGAGATTTCTCCGCGGGTTCAATAGGACAAGAAAGGAAATAAAAACGACCAATGTTCAATCGACGGAGAACATCATTTGGCAGAGATTGTTCAGATTGTTCTTGCTAAATAAATATATATATATTGATTATCAGCAATTCCTTTTTGATCTCTCTAAAAAAAAAAAAAAAAAAATTTTTTTTTTTTTTTTTATAATCATTTTAATACAATAATAAAATACAAATACAATATACCTGTAATAAAGATTGAGTATTAAAATCTTCTAATAACGATTGATCAAAACTATTATTATCGATTGAACTATCCGCATGTAAACTATCTCTATGTAATTTCACACCAAAAAGTCTTTCAAGGAAAGCCAAAGGTGTCATTTTTCCTTCAAGTTTATCCTCTATTTTACGAACAATTATCTCTGTTAAACTGTTTGTCATCATTGGTTTTTCAATTCTAGAATGATCTGAATGATCTGATTGATCCGATTGATTTGATTGATTTGATTGATCTGATTGATCTGACATTCGTCCTGCATCAATAATTTTGTTAAGCCATGTATCATTCATCCAATTCGTTTCCAATTCCTCTTTGATTAATGATTTCTGCGCTGAAGTGATCATTAATAAATCTATAGAATTTTTAAAATATTCTGCCATGTCTTTTGCCTCTACAACCGAACGACTCCTCCCAATTATTTTGAATCCAAATGCAATGGGATATCTAATATATATTCATAATTTCGTTTACAAAGATTTTAAATTATTTAAATTATTTTTAATTAATTATTTGATTAATTGAAAATTCTTTATCCTTTATGAAATACCTTAATGACTTTGGAATATCCCACAATTTTAATTTTTCCGCTAATTTCAACATTATATATGTCCATGAAAGGACTGTACCTCGTACAACATTATTAACTTCTTGAATTATTGGAATATGTTGATCAACCATTGCTATAGGATTCCATGGATTTAAAGATGAACAATCCCTAACTTTTTGAAATCCTTTATCATTTGGTAAATCTTCATAACGCCAAGGATGAGTACAACCCAGTCGATTACATGGAATATTTGCTTTGATTGTTGAAATCGCTATTTTTACTGGTATCTTATCATCCCCGTTGCTTAATGCTAAAATTAATTAAATTTAAAATTAAATTTAAAATTAAATTTAATTAATAAAATAAAATATTAAATCTAAATTAAAAAAAATAAATCAAGTAAATCAAATAAATCAAAAAAAAAAAAATAAAACAACTCAAACAAATCTATTATTTTTTATCTACTTATTTATCTATTTACCAAACGCTAATGGTGTAGGATGTCCAGTTGGTGTCTCAACTACAATTGTTAATACTGTCGCACGATCCATGTTTAATTCATTATTTCCATCAATACAGAAATAATGTTCCCCAAAATCTCGACCATTTATCAACCATAAATCATCTGATACAATAAGTTGATAATATCTATCAGGTGAATTTTCATCTGCAGATAAATCAGGATTTTGGTAATATAATACATGTCCTCGTGGTTTTAATATATCTTGAATATAATGTTGAAGAACTGTCCATGGACCTGCATTATCTCGAACTCGACGATCATCTCTTACTATGAGACGTTTAAGTTGTTTAGCATTACAAATGTCCCGATTTTTTACTATCTCTTGATTAAGATCTGCTTCCGTAGCTCCTTGTTTTGAAACCAATATCTTTGCCTTTACATCATCGGCAGTCCAACGGTCAGCCCGACGACTAATGATAATTTTATCACGTGCAGATCGTGTAAGATTGACACGTGTGACTTGAGGGGTATGGGTAACAAGTGCATTTGGTGGAATATGCCAACCATCAATTTTTATTCTTAATTGATACGTAGTATTAATCCAGGATAATCGAGATTCCGAGACTACACGAAGTCGACAACGATGTCGGTCATTACTATTTTTTAAGTTGTTGGGCATATTTGCATTGGGACACTCAGGATTACATTTTCCAATACCACCACATAAATGTTGACAAGTATTTCCATCCCCAGCACAATACATAACCCAAGACCAACATAATTTATCTTTGCATTTTCCTGAATTGATTTTTTCTACTAATTCAATTCCTTTTGGAGTAAGTTCAATTATATCATCAATACGATTAGTGGATTTTACGTTTCCACTAGAAGTAGTCCATTCTACAAAGTCAACAGCACCTTCAACTCTTTTGATTGAAATAATTCCTTCTTTCAAAAGTTGAGGAGTTCTAAGTCGACTACGAGCTTTTAACCTAATATTTTTTAGTAAGGGATGCTTTGATATATACCATTCCGCAGCACGACCAAATGGAACACTGACAGATGAATCATCATCATTATATTTAATGAGATTATCGTAACTTTCCATAATTGACCAATTAAGATAAAAGAATAATTAGAGAAGAGGCGAAGATATTGCGTATGGGAAAAAAAAGCGAAAAATCTTTTAAATTCATCAATAACGTAACATATCATTCAAAATACTCAAAATACCAAATTTGGGTCATATCATATCATTATACTATTGTTGTGTAACCGATCAATTTGCCCCTATAATTTTTAATAATCCTATTTTTTTTTTTAGATAATCTCAAAATGATTATTAACCTCTCTCATAAACCAAATTTCATCATCAATTTCAAACATCTCTTGATTAAATTTTCTAAACCTATACATATTACCAATATTACTAAAACATTTAATACATCCAACAATATGATAAATGAGTCCAAATTTTTTTTCAATAAAATTCGATTGTTCTCACGCCCTTTTTGTCTAGTACCGTTACCGTTATCAACAACAACAACAACAACAACAGTATCATCATCATTATCATTATTAACACAAATTGTTAATAATAATAATTCAATTGGACAAGTTCGTGGAATGAAAGTTAAATCTTCGGTAAAAAAATTATGTGAAGGATGTTATATAGTAAGAAGAAAAGGAACAATTTATGTACGTTGTAAAAATAATCCTAAACATAAACAAAGACAAGGATAAAAGAAAATCTACAAATTATAATTGAACGTTCTTTTTATTAAAAATAATAATTAATTAATATATATTTTCCTAAATTAAAAATTTTCTGATTATATCCTTTTTTTTTTGGATTTAATAATATATATATATATATATATAAAAATAAAGTTTCAAAAAAAAAAAATTCTATGAATTAATAAACAATTCTCATTTATGACAAAAACTATGTGTGATAATAATCAATTAAATCACACACGATAGAAATATCTTAACTATCTTAAACTACCTTAAACAATCTTGAACCATTTAAACTAGAATTACCTCAAACTATTTTAAAGTAATACTTTAATCTCAATAAACTAAAACTAAATTGATAAATTGGATTATATTCCATTATCTATATATATCATATATATATCATATTTATCACACCCATATATATAGATGGCGTATTCAGTACAGTTATTAAATATTCAAATAAATTTTTATTCTTCTATTTCTAAATTTATTAATATTCCATAAAGCAACTTTCCAATCATCTTCATTAATTACTGTAATCAAGTCACCATTGATATTCTTATATTCAAAACTCTTAATTTTAATTTCAAATCTTTTTCGGATGTTTTCTAATAATGTGTTTAAAGGAATATTCATTGGGGTTAACATTGCACGATTATGAGTTAAGAATACTATTGTGATATATATCTATTTATGTATAATACGATATTGTTAATATTATTAATATTGTTTTAATAATATAATTAAAATTAAATAATACGTACTAAATCGTCATCAACAATTTCTGATCGATTTTCAGTCTAAATAAGTTAATTAGAGTTAATTATAAAATTAATTAAAATTATAAAGTTTGATAAATTATAATATTCAAATATAATTAATTTATATTATAAATATAATTAAATTACCTCGCTGCTAATATCATTATTAACGTTATAAATATTATCATCATCATCAACAATAACTTTATTCAAATGATGATTATTTATATAATTATAATTATTATCATCAGCAAAACGAAATCTTTGTATACCAATATTAAACATTTTAATTGTCATAGGATGAACTTTTGAACAAGGGCTTAATACAATAGAAGTAGCTTCTCTCATTAACCCTCCTGATGGATCTTTACTCATTTCTTCGGTAAAGACACGACCTTTAGAATTATCTTTACCATGATAACAAAACTATATTAATTTAATTAATACATATAGATATGTTAATCTGTTGATTAATATAAAATATAGTAATAAATATAATAATAGATATATACTATAATATATACTATAATATATGTATTATAATATATGTACTATAATATATACTATAATATAATCTATATAATATACTCACCTTGGCTTTAAATCCTTCACAAAATACAACTTCAATATCATGATTTTCAATAATTCCAAAAGATGCAATTTGGTTCCATGGAATTTGAATTTCTTCAATGGACTTTTTTTTACTATTACCTTTATTGAAACTTATTGCAAGTACTTGACGAGTATATTTTAATAATAATTCCATTTGATTGCATATAGATGATGATTTTATTTTTTGACTGGGACAAAATGTAATTGTGGATAAATCAATCCTTATCCACAAACTGGAATTGGGTTTAAATGAATAATTAAAAGTTTTGGATACATTTTTATTGTGCATTTTTTCTAAATGATAAAATGATGTTGATGATGCCATTTTTTTGGTTTATTTTTATATTGTTTTTTTTTTCATTTTTCGATTATTTATAAAAAAAATTTAAAAAATCGATTAATTCATAGTTTTACATATATGTATATTATATCAATTATATCAACTTACTAATTTTGGTAATCTGTTGACTCCTACTAATCGTAACCAGTCTATGCTGATAAAAGTCCTTGCTTCTTGAACCTTTATCAGAAATCCACGACATTTTTTTCTTTTTGGTTAAGGAGGCGATGGATTAATGAATTTCATTATATATCCATATTATCCATATTATCACGTGAAATGCATCCTCGCTTTGTTTCCTTTTTTTGAGGGGTGGAGTAGAATTGATGTGATGTGATGTGATGTGATGTGATGTGATGTGATTGATTTCGGGTTAAGATCAGATCACATGTAACATAAAACTCACTGATCGAGAGACCTTTTAAACAGACTTACACAATATAATTTATTTTAGTTACAGTATATTGTCAATTTGATCAATATAATATTTCTTATAAGATAAATAAATATTATGGCTTTTAATTTTTTGGCTACTCAAGCAGGAAGCACATCTTCAAGTAACATAGGTGATAGGTGATCCAATTCCTGTTTGTTTATTCGGAGAGTGGTTTTTTTTTTTAGAAATCAGAATAATAACTATAGAGTTCTAATCTGATCTGAAAAATGTAGGTTTAAAACCTAGTCTTAATTGGAATGTGACAAGTGCTCCCTCTTCACAGTCATCGTTTGCTCTTGGAGGTTATAGCACAAATGCAGGCTTAACTGGCTTTCCTACATCCGCATCTCATCAAGGCCCTTCTGTTGCTGTGTAATGATGATTAATTGTTATTCTTTCTCCTCTAAAATATTTAACTTTTCATCTAAAAGAAAATCATTTAACGCGTTTCTAGAGGTCAATTTAAAATCGAAAATATTACGAAAGCAACTAGGTTTTCTGATCTTCCTTTGGAACATCAAAAATTCCTCGCCAACTTTGAGTAAGTTTTTTCATGAATTCGAGTATAAAACTTGTAATTTCTAAAGATTTTTAAGATTTAATTCATTTTTTTTTTTTTATTTATTTGCAAAAAAAAAGTAATCATATACAACAACAGAAAAGAACGATGTCATCAATTAGTTCAATGAGTTTACCAAATATTAAATTAGCAATACAAGAAGTATTTAATGAATCACGTATATTATTTCAGGTACCTTTAACCGATATTCTCACAAATAAATTAGTTGAGATTTTCAATTTAGTGAAAGTGACAATAATTGAGTGTTCGCATATAGGCTCGGCTAACCTGCTGACTGCTGAAACACATAGAAATTGTCCCATTTGACGAATGATCTACAACGTGATCAATATCTTATAAGCAAGTTAATATCTGAATTGGATAATAACATAGGACTTGTAGATAATGCTCGTCGATTTTATGATGCAGCATCTCAAGGACAAAGTAACGCGGTTATGCAAATCGGTGATAATGTATTTTCAAAGTAAGTTTATTTTAAATTTTTATAATAAATTATTTTATATAAATTATTTATAATAAATTATTTTTATACAAATTATTTCATAAATAGATATTATTATGACCTTATTATTTCATTCGAAAACCGATTACAACAATATGAATCTAGTATTGAAGTTAGTTTCTCTCATTATTTAGTTTTTTTTTTTTTTTTTTTTTTTCTTATTCGATAATTTATTTATTTAATAACTTTTCGACAATAGGAATTAGAACGTCATTTTCAATGGATATATAAAAATCCTGGTAATGGAAACAATGGTACAATCAAATATGTCATTTTTCCTTTTTATTTTAACAAATTCAATAATTGAATGTAATAATGTATGAATGAATAAATGAATGAAATGAATTTGTCAATTGAACATTCTTATTTATTCCTATATAACAGGTGAAGACCTTTCAGCACTTACAGAAGCTATGCGTAATCAACACAGAAGCTTTATGGCTGTGACGGGAAAAGTTGCATTATTGCATGAAAATGTGGAAAAGCTACGAAATCAATACCTCAATTATAGACGTACAAAATTCATGGATAATATTAATCCATTTTTAAAAGATTCCCAGCGAAAAGATGGTGAGTTTCATTTACTTTAATTTGGTTTGATTTTCTGAATATTATTACTTACATTTGTACTTATATATATATTATTATTATTATTATTATTTTATTATTATTATTATTTTCATCACTTTAGTTATTCCTATAGTACCTCTTGACGAATCTATGACACCAAGAGAGCTAGCGCAGACTATTCCAAAAACTTCTCAATTTCAACAGCAGCAAACAAATCCATTTCAACCATCAAGTTTATTTTCATCATTTAGACGATAAAATTTATCATTGTTTTGTAGATCAATAATAGATTAGAGTGGTTAAAGTTCACAAAGTGAATTGCTTTTTTGCACTCTATTCCCTGAAATTTAAAGATTATATTGGGAAGGTGCTCACCCTAAAGTAATCAAAATTAACAAAGGCATCTTCAAATATAAAAATGTAATGTACTTTCATTATGGTATACACAAAGTGTTTGGACAGTGGTTTTTTTAAAAATAGGCGTAATCTGACATAGTCTATGGAAGTTACCCAATATACATGAACATATTCCCTCTTCAGATGAAGTAATCTTCCATTTTTATTATAAATAAATTATGTATTTTACCACACTTTTACCTATTCCCGTGTGGATTTGTCTCCCTTCCTTTTTACACAGAGATTACATCTGAGATAAAGAAAAAATGTTTTTTGTGTAGTCAGATCCAAATGAACCTATGATTAATGATCGGGCTCATCTGTAAATAATAATGTAAAAATTCTTATGCCAAAAGCTTTGTTATGACAACTGACGTCTTACTGATAATATAATTTTACCACCATGAATTTATTAAACCATCTACTTTTTTATGATCAGAATTGGAATAGTTATTATTGGCTGACAACTTATGCTTAACCAATTGTATACTTACTTTGTGAAAACTGTTGTAATGTTTATTGATCCAGGAATATTTTGCAAGAGGTAAAGCTTATCATATAACTGTCAAAATATTAAAATATTTCAAAATAAAAAAACTCTAACCTCTGCAATTTCAAGTTCTTTCTTTACAGTTACTCTTTGTTAGTTACATTTGCTGGTTGACTTTATAATTCACTCATTTAAGATAAATTAAAATTGTAGTTTAATTAATCAATGCAAAAAAACAACTAAAACATTTCAAAGCACAACCTATAAAGAAGAAAAAGCAACCTGAATGTCAATACTTTAATTACTTTATTTAGATGAGAACATATCCCATCCTACAAAAATGTATTTTGCACTAAAGTATTAATTAGACATGATATCCTTTTGAAATAACTTAAATAACTAACAATGAATGAAAAACTTTTTACTTGAGTTCACTACTTACTATAAATACCATCCAAATTCAAAATAATTTGAAATTTGAATAGTAAAATAGTATTAATTTTTGTTTAATCTGTTTACAAAGTGATAAATTTACAAATTCTCGATCGTTGCTATTTAAAACTTTTTATTTTAGTTAATAAATGTCAAAAACAATAATAAGTAACCTAAAAGATGAGAATAATACACATCTTCTAAAAAATATTTTAGACCTGTATCATCAAGCTTTAACTACTAATAATTTTCTCAATTTTAATAATATAGATCTGAAATTTGTAAAGAAAATATATATTATTCTTATCTTTCAGATTACTTATTATCATTTTTGATATTTACTAACTAAAATAAAAAGTTTTGTCAATAGAAACAATGGTGAATTATTTCTGATCTTATACAGTGTAGAACCTCTATAATAGGAACTTAAAAAATCTTAAATAAAATTTGATCACCAATCAAATTTCTTTTATATTATAATATTTGAATATATATATTTGGAGGAATCTATTTATAGAAAAAAAAATTTAATTCAATTTTTTTGGTTTATGTAAGTATCATGTGATACGATTTTAACCAATTAGAATTCAGAAATGCAAAAACACGTAACCATATTATATTAATAAGGATTGTTATAAAAAAATCTATAAAAATAAAAATTTTATTTATAAAATTTTAATTATTTAATTTATTATAATTATATTAGATACACAATAATGAGATTTATATTTTTTAATTGCATATTTTGCCATTTTTCCAGTAATACCTTTTCTGTATATATCCATATATCTCTATAATTTATATACATATTTTCAAATAGTAATTAAAGAAATTGAATTTAATATTTCAGGAATAGTTTTTTGTAATTCATTTCAAGTGTAATTATAATATTTTTTAGTATATTTTTTTTACAACATCCCAATACAATAATACTTGAGATAAAATATATATTTTTGTTCACATTTTTTAATTTCTTCTTGAAGTTTAGATTTTTGTATCAAAAAATTAAATTATAAGACAAAATTTGATATGCATAGTATTCTGTTCTATTTACATCTGTAATTTTTAATTTTCTTTTACATAATTTACAGTCAGCTAATAAATTATTTCTCTATAAACCTCTTTCAATTAATATTTGTTTCATGCCTTTAAGTTAATTTGAATATTTTAAATAATTAAATGGAAAAACCATAGATTGTAATATATTATTTGATCCATAATAAGTATCAAGTATATGTGGTTGTTTTCCTCTTGAATTTAAATTCATTTTAAAGGTATTTAATTCATCTTTTTCCATTGCACTATGATTAGTACTATTATCAAATACAAAGATACCTATTGTATTGGAATATAAAAATTTAAAAATAAGTATTATAGCATTAATTACCTAATCTATAAGATGTTCTGAAATCCACCAGTTTTCTTCATTTTTATCAAGACTATACATGTTCCCAAAATTGATTTTAGATTTTTGAGGTATTTCGACTTTTTGAGATTTATGCAAAATCTATTCTATATATGAAAGTAAAAAAAGTACCTAGTTATATGTATCTTTAATCAAAGAATAAATCTGGGTAGTCAAAAAATTTCAGGTTTTAAGTAAAATAATTTCGTCTTCTATGAAAAACTATTTTAACTTTTTTCCCCAAAATTGCAATTTCGGGACCCCAAAATAATTTTGCGTGCAAGTATAATCAAGACGAAAAAATTTTTATGCATCTTTAGAAATATTTAGATAAATTGTTATAAGATCATTTGTAAGTTTAAGTTTTCCAATTATTTCTAATAAAAAATCACTAATCATTAAAAATTTTTCTTGTCCATTTTTTCAAAGTAAAGGTTTATCCAATGGTATCTAAAATATGGGCCAATTATTATTGACATAAAAAAAACATTCATCATATGTAATTAAAATATATAATTTTTCTTCTTCTTTAAATTCTAGAAGAACTATTTACATTTCATCACCAATAAATATAGGCATCAATTTTTTATACTCCTCTATAGTTTTTAAAAACTATTGTTTATATTGTAAAACATCTTTATGTTTATGCTTATCAAAATAAATATTTTTTTTTTCGTGATTGTGAAACTAAACTCAATTTATGAAACTATATTCTTACAGTTTTTATTAATATTAATTTATTTATAAAAATTTGAAAAAAAAATTTTTGTTTCAACAAATATTTTATAATTTTGTAATGTTGTTTTTTTACAATTAGCTTGAATATAAGTTAAACTACTGTTAATTATATTTTCATCATCAATAAATAATTTAATTTTTTAATGACAGTCTTGTAATAAAATAGATAAGAATTATTTTTAATTTAATAATTTCCTAATTTTTGAATTACCCTGAATTTATATATTCCTTTATTATAAATTTTTTTGTAATTTTTTTACTTCAATTCTTGTTAACCCATTTTTTTTCCAGTATTTAAAATAAGTATATAAAGACCTATATCTCAAATAATCATATACTGTTAATTTTTTTTAATTATTTAAAATAATATATTCTAATTGTTGAAATTTTAAATTAAAATTATTATTATTAATATTTATTTTATTATCTGTATCTTTTGATTCAACTGTTTCATCAATTGTTTTATTAACTATTTCATCAATTATTTTATCAACAGTTTTATCAACAGTTTCATTAATTATTTCATCAGTTTAATTTAAATTATCTATGTCAATTAGATTAAAATAATTAAAAAAAATCTGATTTTCACTTATATTTTATAATATATTATTATTATTTTCATTTACAATATCTTTATTTTTATTTATTTCATCAATTTTATCATTTGTTTCACCATAACTATTTTCATTATTAAATTCATCTGTTTCACCATTTCAATTACTAAATTCATCTATTTTTTGTTCACCTATTTCACTATCTATTTTGTCATATATACCTGTTAAATTATTAATTTCATTATACCTCCTTTTCATTTTATTATTTTTACCTGTTTCACTATCAATTTTGTTACATCTACTCTCTATTTTATTATTTTTATCTATTTGATTATCTATTTTATTATTTTTATTTATCTCACCATCAATTTCATCATATATATCCATTTTATCATCAGTTTCATCATACCTCCTCTCTATTTTATTATTTTTACACATTTTGTTATTGATTTTATCATATCTACCCTTTATTTTATTATTTTTATTTGTTTCACCATCTATTTTATTATTTTTATTTATCTCAGATAATTCCATGTTCTCAAAAAAGGAACTACAGGAATAGCTAGTATTACTAGTTAAAGATACGTCTTCAACCTCAGCATTATATGAATCATTTTCACTTTCATATTCGTCTTCATATTCATTTTCACGAATACTTTCAAAATTATCCTATAACATTGAAGTTAGTATAAGTTATGTTTGAAATTATTTTATTCATTATTTATTTATTTTTTTATATCTCATTATTTAATCTTTCGCTTTTCAAACTATTCAAACTATCAATCATCATTACTTCCAAATTTAATTCTTCTAATGATTCTATCACATTTTGAAGACATTATTTTATGTGGTTGGTATGCGAAGTTTTAGTGTAGAAGTATATTGACAGAAATTACAAATCCTTTGATTAATGAATTAATAATTACTTTGAACAGTTACAATTATCATTATATTTATAAATAATTTTATCTTTGTTCTCTATATAAATTTTATCTTTGTTCTCTATATTAATTTTATCT